CTCGCTCTTATCAAAGTGTGCTGCACTCATCTCTTCCTGCTCTGGCAGTTGAAGATTTCCAAGCGCAAGCCTCGTGGCAAAAAGGAACCACACCCTTGGACAAATCTTGCTCGGATGCTTGCTCCTCTAAGGGTATGTGTCAAACAATGTCCGTTTCGTTTCCCTTTAGAACAATCTGAAAAGGGTACCCTGAAACCACACACAGCCGAAGACACAGCCACAAACACACAAACACACACACACACATCAGACACAATCTACAAGACCACTAGAGGGTGTGGCCATGATGACCCACATGGGACTGTCCCCAATGGTCTCGAAGTGCGGTTGGTTAAGTCCGCAAAAAATCGTTGTACTCTTACTTCATATCTGCTGCCACATATTCCAGGTTTTAGGTCCCCGCCTGCCCACGTGGCAACGTATCCCCCCCCCCTGTGGAGTGGTTGTGGGTCGGGTTGGTTGAGGTTTGGTTGAGGTTTGGTTGAGGTTTGGTCAGCTTCAAGTGGGTGTGGGTCAAAATTAAGCCACCAGGGGACCGCAGGTTTTAGTCTTTGGCTCCATTTACCAGGATTCCATTTTGGGTACCTATTTTTGACCCACAGCCAAGTAAGCTTAGGCTGCGTTTGAAGCTAGCTGCAGGGAGTACAGTCGGGTTTGCCCTCTACATGCCGGGGATGCGCCCAGATGTTGAGTGACACATGTTCTCACAAATCCAAATATCCACAAGCGCTCCCATACACCCCCGAAAAATGTCTCCGCGTTGAGCTCGGTAGGTGCCAAGTGCCAACTAGGCACACTCGGGATGGCTCTCCGATGAAAGGCTTCTTGATGTCGAAAGGCAACACCGGCGGGTGACGCGTGTGACAATGATGCCTGGGTCAATGCTACAAGCACATCGATAGCGATATCGATGTGCCAAAAAGGCTGACTATGAGACAAATACCTGGAAAACGAACCAAAACCTTGCATCATGGCACCCTGCCACACTAAAGCTCTATCCAAAAGAAACCTCGAACAGCACAATAATTCACTAGCCACTTAATTCAGTTCATTGCATGGGGGACACATGAAATCCTTGCGATGATGGGCCTTCAAATGGTGCTGAATCGATTTATATGCGCTCTCATCCAAGTATTTTGTCCTGCCTCTCTATCAACCCTCTATTCATTCTGCAACTCTATACTGTTCATTCTACAATTCCATATAAGTGTTTGCTTGACAGCTGTGGACTTGTGCATGGAATCCAGTACCGACTCCCTGTGGCAAACAATTTTGAGAATTTGCGACCCTTATAATTGGAGCAAAAAGGAAACTGCAGGCGCAATGCCCCACTAGCACAGGACCATTCCTAAGTACAAGCAAAGCTGCGCCCAATGAAAAGCTCCAAATCCTACGCACACCATCCCCAAAATAAAATTTGGTATACAACCACGGGACATATAGAGGGTAGCCATCCCAATATCGCTTTGGTTTGAAGGTAGCTCCGCTCTAAGGAATTACGGACACACCCCAAAGAAAAGGGGTGTCCACCTTTGTGTCAGTCCTGGCACCCGGCTGGTCAAAACTTTCCAAGCAGCCCACCAGCTGAGCACCATTCCCAGGTGACTTGGCGACAATATGTTGACAATCCGGCATTGTTACACCAGGGTGGACTCCTTGCTGTCGGCTGATCGATGTGGGGGGACGAGCTTTCTCAAGACTTTGGGCGCGTAAGTAAGAGAGACAAAAAGAGAGAGAGTGAGAGAGAGAGGAAAAATCTCTCCTGACAAGCAAGCTGAAACCAAAGGAACCATGAACATTGGTTGCGTGCTTGTTGAATCGCCAGGCAGCTCAGCCGCGCAAACAAAAAACCGACACCCAACAATGAAAACATGACAATCGCACCAAACGTTCCTCTCAAAAAGCCTCAAATAGAACTGCCCCTTTGCCCCACTTTGTTTGCAAATGTCCTGACAGAAGCACACAGCAACTCCGCCGCTTCCCCTTTTTGTTCGCAGAAGTCATGTCAGAAGCAAAGGAGTCTTGAATAACTACGCACCACGCTGCCACGAGCAAAACAAGGACTAAGCGGAAACAACTGTGACAGGCTATGTAAAAGTCTGCCCTCAGCAAGTGAACCTGTAACTATAACGCCTTGAACCTCTGATGCGCTCTCTGATGCCTTGAATCCGCGATTGTCCCCTAAATGACTAATGACTTGCGACGCCTCGAACGCATGAGACGCCTCATCGCACTCTGTCTTTGCCTACGTGCTTACGGCTTCGCATCGTCACCCTTCGCATATTCGCCCTTCGCGTCTGTCTCCAAGCTCTCAACTTCTGAATGAGGTGTGGCCAAAAGCATCAGGTGGAACATCGCGGCTGAACCTGCGTCAACCATCAGCTGGCAACGCGTGGCGCAAAGTCAGCTTGACGTCAGCCCAACGTGATTCCTAAGGCTGGTGCCGCTGGCAGCAGGTCACATCAAAGCATGAGCAAGTCACGTACCGGACTTCGTCTCGCATTGGCGTTACAGCAGAACGAAGAAAAGACATGTCCTGCCATCTCAGTGCTGCAAACTCTGGGCACTCTGTCCTACCAGCGCCCCTGAGACTTTAGACCCAGCTTGCCGGGAAGTGGTCAGATCCCTATTTGCCTCTTTGATAGGGATTTCCAAGCATCCTGTCCCACCCCCCACGACCCAAGTTGCGACTACAAGCCCAAACAGCTACCCTGAGTTTCTGGCGTACGCGCACCGCGGCCGCTGATCTGAGCCAGGCCGGAGCCTTCTGCGCCACCCCAGCAGCAGTCATTTGTAGCCCACTCAAGTCAAGGTGCCAACCCCAAAGCCCACGCAGTCCCGCCACCAAGCCCCCATTGCCAATCTTCTCAGCCGGCCGCCCTGTTCCTCAATCAGCTCATCAGACTGCTGACTTCAGCCCAGGCATCATTTGCTCATTGCTCTGGTGGCTCTTTCGGGATCGTCTTGGGGCGAGGCGAGCAGCGCACAGAATTCACATGTTTTCATGATGTCGTGCTGTAGATGTTGATTCGGCAAACGCAATTGTTGCTCTTATTTGGCCAGAGGTCGCACACATCTAAGTGACTTCTCCCGGAGCCCAAAACAACATCTTAGAGGTCTGTCTAGCATTTGCCCAGATAGGAACCCTCGACTTAATTAGATACATGGGGTCCCTTGACGAGACGTGTTGCGCATTCATCCTGTGCAGCTACAAACAATGTAAAAACAAAAACTCGGCCAGCCAAGGTCACATGGCATGGTTGTAGATTGTGAGATAGGGGAAGACGGGCTTCTCGCCTCGAAAGAGGTGGCAACACACGGCACGCCTGACTCGCTGTTCATTCAACAAACACGAGTTGAGCAGTTTTGCGGAAAAGGACGCACCCTTCTCAGCTTGACTGCGATGTTTGAGTTTGTCATGAAACAATGAGCACACTGCTTTTGCGTAGTTCATTTTGAGCGGGAAGCCAATGGAACAAACAGGAAAAACGGACCTGGCACGACTGCCCAGGAAAGTAATCCGGTCTCACCACCATGCCACATTGACATGTGCCTTCTGACTTCGTTTCCACAACCCGGTTTGTTTCCATTCCATGAGTGTTGGAAAGATCCTCGTTCAGATTGCCGGGGTCGTAGTGTTATGCGAAGACCATTGCCAGGCACTGGACCTACAAAGTTTTCCGCGCGTTCAATGTTCAATGTGTGCCAGGAACATGGGTGGGTTCCCGAATGAGGTTGCTACACGGATCGCACGGAACAGTCTCATGGCGAACCTGGCCACCGTCCAACAACTCGCAAAACACAGTAGTCCTGTCTCACGGTCTGCAACAAGGAAAACAATTTGTTTGCACACTGCCAGGACAGCAGGTGGCTTCCCCATTTTCTTCATTTACTGGGAAAATTGAAGAAGGGTTTATTGAGTCTATGAAGATGGGGAAGCTACAGCCTGAAAAATGCCTTGCTGAACGCAAGCACCCTGAAAGTTGTGGCAGCCGTGGCACTGTCTGCGCACTTGTGCTCCGCTCAAGTTGCTCTGAGCGTCGATCTCTGCGAGTGCTCTGCGCTTGTTGCTTTCTGCAAATTGCCCTGCGCAAGTTCTGTGCGCAAGATAGTCTTTGCAAGTTGCTCTTCATAAGCGCGCTGCGCAAGTGTCTTGCGCAAGTTGCTGCGAGCAAGTGCTCTCTGCAAGTTGCTCTGCGCCGATAGCTCATTGCACATTCGTTTGCGCAAGTTACTCTGCGCAAGTGTCTTTGCGCGAGCGCTCTGCGCGAGTTGCTCTGCGAAGGCTGCACGTCGCTCTCCGTGAGTGCTCCCCCCAAGTTTCTTCAGGCAAGTTGCGCTTTCTAGCTGAATCTGCGGGAATGCGCCTCGCGTAGTACTCTCGCACTTTGAAGTTACGAGTTTCCCGCGGACCCAGCGCGAGACCGCGAGACTACAAGCACAGTCGCGGAAGCCACGAGACAACTTCCAAGGACCACCTCGCAAGCAGCAAAGGTGACAAAAATAGCTGGAGACCACGGCCAGAGCGATTCGCCAAGCACAATCCCCGAAATTGATCTGAGGGTCACAAATCGCAACAAGTCCTCTGTTTGTTGACCTCGACCAAACCGACCTCCGCAAAGGGTTGATCCGTGCATGTCAAAATCGGAAGAAAAAAAACACGCCGATCCCCGCAAAGGGTCGCGCGCAGACCGCGGAAATCGTGAAAACTTTGTTTTTGACATCGACCACGCCGATCCCTGAGGGTTGACCTGCGGACAGCAGAAGGCATAAAACATCCTCAGTGTGAGTCTTTTGAGATCGACCAGGCCAATCCCGCCCCCCGCCTCAAAAAACGAGAGCCTTATTCGCGAGCTCTCTCACGCAGCGCGTAAAGAATCTTGACTATAGAAACTTAGCCTTAACCTTCCGAGCCCAAGAGCCCGACCCTTCGCTCCCAAGCTCTTTACCCAAACTATACCTTCCCACACTACTCACCTTCTTGCAAATTCTGTGCAAGTTGCTCTTCGCAAGCAGCTCTTTCTGATTGCTCTGTGCAAGTTGCTCTGCACAAATGGCTCTAAGTAAGTTGATCTACGCAAATGGCTCTGTGCAGCTTGGTGCAAACAAGTGACTCTGTGCAGCTGACTCTGCGGAAATGGCTCTGTGCAAGTTGGTCGAAGGGCTCTGCTTGCAACAACCCTTCGCGAGGCTTTCGGGAAAGCAGCACAAGGAACTAAGGACAAGCAAAAGCTGCCAATGGAAAACACCCTTTGCAAAAAGCCCGACAACAAACCCAAATGCTCTGGAGATTATCAACATGCATGGATTATCCGGCTCTACCCAACCACCAGGCGGGCCATCTAAGCAGAAATCAGCTTTTTGGACAGACGCGGTTCAAGTCTGAGTGTGCTTTTGCTTGATGCCATAAAATAAGCACACATATCCCAAATCGTTGTTTGTACTGGCTTCTCTTGAAAGCCACTCAGAAACCGGTTGCTTCCCGGCTTCCCCAAAGAGATACACGCCGCACACAAAGACGCCTGGGAAACTTCCAACAGAGCGCCTGTGAGAGCCTTGATCTGCGATGCAGATGGCCAGTGATCCACCGGGGAAACCCCCAGCGATTGCTCCTCAGGCGGAAGCGATTCGGGCCCTTCAGACCCAGAGCCACTTCCCCCCCAGACTCCCGTCAACCTAGGCCTCAATCACGGACCCTTCAAAGCATAACCCCCTTCAAGCGTTGAACCACCGCTAAGGCCTTCCTCGGCTCTACCTGGAACAAACACGGCTAGTGGATCTGAAGAGGATCCACTGTGTTGACCAAGGGGTCGCTTGATAGGGTTTCCTAAGAAATGTCTGTGACTCGCTGACCTTTGGAAGTCGTTTGCCGTGATCAAACTTTGTTGTTTTAAAGTTCAACAGCTCAGAGCTCAGCATGCAATTGCAAATCGATTTCAAGCAAGAAAACTCATGGCGAAAACCACAGCCTTCACAGCTCGTGAGGTGGCGTGAGGCGACCACCCCCAAGCAATTAGCCACTATATATATGGACAATGTATCTGCAAAGTCGGACATTAGCGGATGGCTCAAAGCATGAACCAATGGGCTCAAAGGCTTACTGACCCTGGACGCATCCGTCCTATCTGCTTGGCTCGGGTGGTTGCTCAGTCAAGGAGAATGTCTTTTTTTCGAAGGTTATCAATCTACTTCGCTGGGCCTTGTCGCAAATCCCATCTGGCTCATAAGCCAGCTCCTTAATCGCTTGAGTCATTCATGGTGTCCCCTTCATTGCAAAGCAACACCTACATGTGCCTTCTGGGTCAAGAACCCCCTTCCAAAGAAAAGGAACTCATCCCCTCCAAACAAAACGAACCATGACAGTCAACACAAAGTTATCTCCAAACAAAAGAAGCAAGTTGTTTCTCGGGAAACTCCCTCCTACAGCAAGAAAATCACTCAAAAGTTGTTGTGAACGGGAACCCCAGGAACAAGTCGGTTCTGTAAAGCGTATCAAGAAAGCTACTTTCCAGAAGAGAGGGTTCCAAAGGGAAACGCCGACCACGAATCTAACAAACGATGCACACCCCGATCCCACCAAGCTGCGTAGATCGGGCTGAGCCTACGAAGCTCCTTAGCCAGGAAGGCGGCCAAATCGCCGTCCTGGCGACATCTTGCACCAGTCAGAGATTCTGTGGATGGACGAAATCCTGCACCAATTTGAAGCCATGGGAAACCCTTTGTGTGTTGGTATTGACAGGGGAATCATCATTCTAGGAATTCTTAGGTAGTGCAGGATTTCGTCCACCCACAGTAGTTCACCGTTCACAGAGCTTCGTTGTTTGAGGGATTGCAGCTTGGTTAAATGAAAAACAACGAGGAAATCCCAAATGGAGGACCCCCTGACATGGCTGGCTTCCCTTTGGCTTCAACTAAAGGCCCCTTCAAAGAAGACGCACCCGCTCGGGGAGCGTGTGAATTGGGGTAAGGGGCAACATATTTACACATCCACTTACAAATACAAACCTCTCCCAGGAAAGAAATTGGCTTGATACCCCTCACAATCCCATTTTTGTTGTTGAACGGCCCTGAGAGGAAAGGGATGATTGGCAAGGGGGTCACTGTGGGACCTTTGACCACCTGAAAGCCAAGGGGTCAAAACTCCCATAACAGCCACCGCCAACATGGTTTTTTTCCCGTTGGCTTCCCAAAATGGGGTAGCTTCTCAAGACAACTTCGCACCCAAAGAGCTTTGAGTTCCCGTGCACTTCCAACTTCCGCCTTCTTCTGCGCCCAAGCCGGCTCCAGGCAGTCTCCGAAACTCTTGTTGGGCTCCTGGCACACCGCAACGGGTTCTGAATCCAACGCCGATGCAACCAACACGTTGCTTAACCGGCCGATTGAGCTGAGTAGCTAGCGTTCGAAATCGCCACAACTACATATCCAGCTAACTAGCTAACTAGCTGGCAAACTTGTCATACAAGCACAAATACACACGCACATACAACACGTACAAGCATACACAAGCATACACAAGCATACACAAGCATACACAGGCATACATAGGCATACAACACCATACACTCAACCACACAACAAACAAGAAGCATGCGGTATCTATACAAATGTAGGTATCCGTATACACATATATGTAAATATATTCACATCCGCTCTCTCTCTCTCTCACGCGTGCACACGAGCGCACGTACCAGATATCCTTGGATTTGCGTTGCCGTCAGGTTCTTTGATGTCCATGCGGCCGGAACCCTTGCCTGCTAGCGACTGGTCCCCTTAACGGTCTGTTCTAAGGCTCAGTTCATTGCAATAAGATAACTTGTATGAATGTCGGGTTGGCAAACATAGAGTGCGGGCTCCATTGACATCGTGCTGTCTTTTAAACGCGATCCAACAAGTGGTCCGTACTTTTGACCGAGGGCAAAACAAGTAACCCAGTGTCTCGAATCCTATATATTTGGTAGCTATTGGAGCCACTAAACACTAAAGGACCATGTTGAAGGGTTACCTACTATAGTGGCTAAGCATTTTGCGATACAAAACAAAATAAATCACTAAGACATATTATATGTTAATAATAATAACAAACATATCCCACCTTCAACTGCTTTACGCTTTGGCTCACTTAGGACAACCACGCGAGATGGAGAGAAACATAAAGGCACCAATTCCAAAGTGAAGGGCCTTCATCAGTTCGACCCCCGAATCGGTGAGCTCCCGATAAAACAGGAAGACTGATCCTGCCAGTGTGCAACAGAGAGGACTCATCTTCAGTAAGCCGAGATGTGCAAAGTACAGAACTTCTGCAAAGGGCGAACATTCAAGCGCTCACTCGATTGATCACATGAGACACATGCATAAAACTGTCCGAATGCATCCGAATGTAGCAATTGCTTTGTTCCCAGGCCAGCAGCTGAGAGCAATGCGACATCGTAGGGCAACAAAACGGCGAGCCATGAATGGGTCAAATTTAAAGTTAACTGTTACCCCCCTTCCCAATGTACTCAAAAAGCAAGAAGCAATATTCCTGATTTGTGGTAGCCGAAATCAATCGGCCACTTTGGTTTGGTCCGTGAAAGGAACATCTCGGATCGGACAGGAAGCCGCCTGAAGAGCCAGCGGAAGCAAAGGGATGTTCAGCGCATTTCCGATGGCCGTGACTCGGTGAAAGTTCCTGTCAGAACGGCCAAGGCAAAATTCAATTGGGTGTGAGGGTGCCCTTTTCGAGATTGGCTTTCAGGGAACCCCAAAGGAAACTGAGACTTCCCCGAAGAGCAGAACTAAGGGAGTTCCCGATCTTTCCATTACTTCTACGGAAACCTCCCTGGTGTATCCTGAGGGTTCCATGAATGGCAGATACTATCGAGCACTTGGCAGGCTGTCTGTTCCAAAGGGGTGCCCAGAAAGAAACAGTCAACAAAGTCAACGTGTCCCGAGTTTCTGAGCCTCAAACGGATTCTCGTGCTCGTCGCCCCTGTTTGAGGAGTTCCCGACCACACCACCCTCAAAGTAACCAACAAAATAGCCAGATGTTTTGATTAGGGAAGCGCTACGTACAGTACAAGGAGCTGTATGAAGGACACCCAAGTGAGAAACAACTGACATTCTGTCGAATTGTTTGCTGAAGTGGGGAGAGCCACAACCTGGACTACTCACTTTCATAGCACGGGTAAACACGAGTAACTGCTCAATCTGACCATGTCGGGGGCAACGCGTGGCATGTACCACACACATATACAAACTCGAGCATAACAAGCCAGCTGACCGCCTCTGGACAGCAATGGATTGAGCACTCTGGGAAAGTCAAAACAACCCACCACCCACCCTCAAAAGGGGGAAAAGGAGGACGCATTCTGGCAAAGACTTCAGGGCACAAGGGACATCGCAGTTCACCATCCTCCAACTCCATTTTAGAAGAGGTGGGGATGATCTTGTTTGTCTCCTTGTAACCTAGCTTTGCATTCTCCGAAACGCCGCAACACGTAAAACTGATTCACCAGCCTGATTTCAGGCAGCCTTTTGACAGGAACCTTCATGGGAAACCTCATGTTACATGTGATCCGGGGCCAAAAAAAACGTGCAGAAGAATGCCCGTGCTTTTTCCTTGCAAGCTTCAGGACTGCAAGGAGCTCTTGGCTCTGAGGGGTGCTTAGCTTAAGCCAAGTGAGGGCTCCCTGCTGTACCGCAAGTCGCTTTTCAACGTGGGCTATGCTCCCCGATTTCAGGTCGCCTGAACTGGCCAACTGAATAAATAACCGTTTAAACGAGTCTGGTGAAATTCAAACAATGACCCATTCCATTTAGGTTTTGTGTGAAGGGATTGACAATTATAGGCTACTTAGCACCCAGCTGACATGTTTTGAGGAAATCGAATGCAAAGTCCGACCAACCTCCCAGAGCCCAAAGGGTCTGGAAAATATGTCCCGGCAAAACACATAGTCCAAAACATTGTACAGCTGTGGCCCAAACAGGTCGCGTTCAATGTAAGAAACAGGGGAGTTACTTTTCTAAGGGACGTTCGGACATGCCTTGTTTTGATTGCAAACCCTTTCAGTGGGTTCAGATCATTGTGGCAAATCACCCTTTCTGTGATACCAAATCGTAGATTTATCACAACGGGGCGTCGGTTGGTATCACAGAAAGCGGCCCTAAACCCTGCTTTGGGGATGTTGTGTCAAAACAAGTGGTGCCCCCCCACCCCCGGCCAAAAAAAAAAACATGGTTGCCCCTGGGGTTAAAGCACCCTCACGCAAAACACAAACTTGCCACCGGACAAAAGCCGATGCCTCAAGGAGCTCAGCAGGAGCTGCGGATCGAACCCCTTCACGGCCTAAGAGAGCGGCTTGGGTCGCATCGGCGCAAAGTGAAGGCATCAAAAACAAACACATGACATCACCGTTTCTTGCTTAGGGAGAGGCGAGAAGGGGACCGTTCAGTATTCCAGGGGGAGGATTACACTGATCAAAGATATGACTAGGAGTGAACAACAGAAAGCCATCTCAATAAATGGCATGATCAAGCGGCTTGCAATCAACAGAGAAAGTTGGATAGCGGGACCAAAGAAGCTTCTTCACGTGCCACTCGTGATGCTAGCAATAGGCAATTCACATTGGATCAAGTGGGCAGCGGCGGGAATCGGGAAAGGTATTCTTGGGGAAGACCTCCATCATGAGAGTCGAGAGCAAAACAAAGTAACCGTGACACATTGTTTGCTTAGGCTGGTCGAGTTGATCAACAAGCAAACGCATTAAAACAACTCATATCAAACATGTTGAGACAACTCACAATATGTGGTTGCTGGTCAGTTCTTCAGAATGATGATGATGATGCTGATGGTGGTGGTGGTGCTGGTGGTGCGGTCATTATGGTGGTGAAGATAACTGTGGTGGTTATCATAGTGGTGAGGACGATGGCCATGACGATGACGTTGTTGTTGATGATGGCGGTATTGTGGTTGAGAAGGGATTCCCTGTTTTCCCCCAAGCCCATCCCTTGGGTAGATTCCAAAAAACGGTAACAAACATTAAACGATGTTCTGCTCTTTGCCAGCCAAGAGGAGAAGCTGGGAAGGACAGAGGGAACTGGCACAGTCTCCGAAAAGAGGGAAAGGAATACACACAGACACATACAAGAACAAGCACTAGTGATAACAAAGACACAACTGATGCTCAAACACCAGAACCAAAACAAAAATATAACACAACGTGCATATCACCAGTATTGCATTTGCGAATCTATATGAGAAACAATTGCACGAGACAGCACGTGCACCTGCCTAATCGTGGAAACAAGCACGACGCCAACACAAGTTGTAGCGACAGCAGTCACTATCAAAACAATGGAACAACCACGATTGACATACAAAGCCCAACAACCAGCTCTGAACGCACGCGGAAACTAAGCATACCTTCGTGCATGCCAAACAGCAAGCGTGCAGATACATGCTAGCAGTCCCTGGAATGCTGAGTTTCCGTCGATAAAGCTGGAATTGCCCTTAGTAAAGTCGCTACAATCAAATGTGTTGACGATGGCCTCTATTGAACCCAAGTCAGGTCTGCCATCGCTTGCCTTCAAGCGGTGAGATCGCCTGATAATTGGTTTAAACAACTGAAAGCACAGGTGGTGTACTGAAAGACAATTGGTGCCATGCATTTGTTTGTATAAGTAATTGAAGAACGGCTGACACAGCCAATATGCGCCAACAACTAGGGAACACTCGCAAAACAGTGGCTCCGTTTCAGGTTGGATTTTTGACATCCAGAAAAGGGTCCGGAGGTTTAACACATATGGGGGCATCTGGTGTTGGTTTGTTTCAGAGGGGGCACCAACATGGAAACCAAAGACAATGCTAGCGTCTCTGTCTGGGTATGTGTCCAAAATAGTGGTTGTCCTGTTGGTTTCCCTGTAAAGCAACCTGAAAAGGTGTACCCAAAACACACACACACATGCACTACACACCCATTTGCAAGCGAACCTGGACCGATACGACCAAGCGGCGCTGCAAAGGTTGTGGATGCTTGCCGCTTCAAAGGGCTCCATCTCTGTCGCCAGGGCGGCTTCAAACTTGCTAAGGCTGTTGGCCTGAGATTCAGCTGAGAGAGGGGTCAGAAATATGTTCGCCTTCAAACATCAATGGGATTAATTTTAAAATGGACCCAGTAGTTCTGATTGGTTGCCAGAAACGGACCTGTAAAGACCACTCTGTGAGGCATTTGATCCCAGAAACGCCATGAAGTACTGTGCCGGTGAAGGCCTGATGGCATGTATCCCTGCAGCGGTACCCCTGGAGATGTGCCCCACATCACTGCAAAGTTACCTATTTGACAGACGCCAACCATGTATGTATAGCTGTAACAAAATGGTTGTGTTGTATATTATATCAATATGAAAATAGTATGTACGTGTATGGCCAACACAGTGCCTAGGTATTGGAGTACACCCTCACCGGTACATAACCAAAGTCCTTGAGAACTGAGGCCTCTGGAAACATGTCTAAGCTCCTGCCCGATGGTTTCCTTTGGGGGCATCAACAAATGAACCAGGGCCCTCTGGGATATCCGGCATGCTCTGAAACAGGAGCCGCACTACTTCCAAACGTGAGCCTGGCAGATTCTTTTCATCTCACAACCACACTGCAATGTCATACTGTTGCCATGTTGCATGGTTGCTGTAAATCCTTGCTCAACTGCGAGTTGCCCAGTGGTTCCATGTGGCCGGTACAGGGCAAGCGCTTTTCTTTGGTGGGGCATGGTTGACAAGGAGAGGCAACTGGTTGGAATCAAGTTGAGAAGGGGGCCTCTCGCAACTGATTCCTTATCATTAGGTTGCTTGTCATGGGCGGCTCACCAAAGCAACCATACTCTGGGTGGACAAGATCCTGCACCAGTTGGTAGGTGGCTTCTCTCAGTATTCATAGGGTTTCCGATTTTGTCCATCCAGAGTATTTTGTCCATTCAGAGTATGACCTGAAACGAATGGAGATCGCCATGGAGGGTGACTAACAACGGTCATCAAGCTAGCTCCTACATCTCAGCTTCTGAAAAGTGCCGTCTCTAACTTCACTCCAATCATAGCTGACACCTGGCCCGAGCTTTGACACAAGCGGTGTCCACGTCACAAACGCTCTGGAATCCTCTTGGCGTTTGCGTCGATTCCGTTGTTTTCTGACACATCCCTAGAAGACTTCGAGGACCCCCTCTACAAAGGCCCCAGCTGTCCACTTGCTGTGCAGTGCAACTCTTCCCCGTGGCTGGCTCAACCGCCAACGGGGAAAGGGATTTAGTTGATTTTCGTCCATCGAAATCAAGGGACCTCCCAAACGGCTCATTTCCCTTGAAATCTCGATTCAATCACCCTTTTGCGGAAACCCCCAAAAAGACACTCCCAAGTAGAGCCTGGCAATCTGACAAGTTCCATATAGTAGCCCTCTTGGCACCTTTGCTGCCACCCACCCGGAATCGCTGATCTGCAGAGCGGAGCGCTGTCGTTGCGGCTATGACGCCTCAGACTTGCGGCAGTCACAGAACTCTTTCAAAAAACAAAATCGAACAATGTCTGGGGGGATGCATTGAAACTGCCACTGTTGGAGGTCCAAGCACAAAAAATGACGACCCCTGCCGTTTGATCAGAATGCGACATGGATGTAGAAATATCGCTGTACAAGAGGAGTGGGCGGGTTACGTTGGTACTTTAACCCGGCTCAAAGAAAGTGGACGTACAACCCTATTTCCCACAATCAAGCTCTGCGTCTCTGAAACTGCATCAGCTTTAAAAAAGGAGGCCGTCACAAGAATCTGAGGCAAGTTTCTCTTCAATCCGAAACTTCCATTATCAATATTTGCCTGCATGGTAAATACATGTACACGAAATGAAAGAATAACCTACCCGTGTTTCCATGAAGCATTCCGGACAAACAGAGCCACCCTTGAATTCTGATCCTGGCTTCCAAATTGAAGACCTTAGGCATCGCTGCCCGGCTTTGTCCCCAAGCACTGCAGCACGGACCGCGGAAAGCGAGATGTGCAAATGATGCAGAGGGCTTGCAGCTTCGACCCGTGTCCCAAATATCAATCCCTGATATGTCTTTCAAGGAAAAATCACGGTCAAGCCTGAGGTCAGTAAGAAGCCAAGATAAGGGATGAAAACAGCCGCCAAAAAGTGGGGACACAGGGCCCGATAAACGTCTAGGCGGGTCGAACAGCCCTCACCCCATATTTGTGGCATGCATATATATATATATATGCTTGCGCCTCTTGGCAAACAAAGTGAGCCAACCTATGTTTCGTGCGCCTGCTTGTCAACAAAAAGTAGTCTGCGTCCAAACACGGTAAGTATCGGCTACTGCTGGCTGCACAGCATGTGCGTATAGGTTTCCCCGCAATGGGGTTCAATGTCATTGACTATGTGCATGTGCAAACGGGGCTTTCTGGAAACGTTGGCCCTTTGCTGACGGCCGGCTTTTCTCTGAGCTGCCTTTCAGAACTGTCTAAGGGGCTCTTCAATTTGAGACGCAGCTGAATAAGCTATATAGTCTTGGAGTATCATCGGGCAGCCAAAAGTGACTGCACTCCCTCATAGTCAACGTCCACCTAACTTACAAACAAGCAAAACCGAGAGGCCAAGCTGGAGAGCAAAAACCTATGCTACCCTTCCCAACGCAACGAGCGGCTCCAACCGCAACACGAGGGACGATGTCGCAGAGTGGGCCCAGGTGTTCAGCACGTGGACGTCCATTACCCCACAACGTCAACAATTGGTACAGCGCCCACAAATTAACACCCGATCTTCCAAATAGTTAAGTTGTATTTTGTGATACCTCCGGAGCCAATGGGCCTCGCCTTGACTGTGTCACGTGCCATTTCGACCCCATCCCACGCAAGTGGATACAATACTGTTCCCAACCCTTTTCTCATGTTTTGGCTATTCCATCGAAATAGCAAGACCCACAATTTTGGGTTTCCTTTTGGGTTTCCTTGAACCAACCTGAAACTCACCTGAAAAGGGTACCGAGCCTGCAAAAAACAAGCCACACCTATGACCCCAACTGGGCGAGCGGCTGGGCTTGGCCAAAATTTCAGAGATGGCTGGGCCGTTGCTGATATAGGCCAGCCCAAAGTGCTGCGCCATGCTTTGGCCCTCTGGTGGGCCCACCTGGGCTTGCTGGGCTGGGTCCATTGGTTTCTCGGGTTGGTCCATCATGGTCAACCCCTTTTTGGGCGGCAAAGGAAAATCATAAGAGCAAACAGCCCATGTTGAGTTTCCCCGTGAGAATCACCCTTTTCCAAGAAGCAAGCTGGGCCACATGTATGAGTCTAGTCAGCGAACTAGCCAATTGCACCACTTGCACGACCATTCTTTGCTCCGGTCCTCGCTTCCTTGGGGGGTTGGTAGGTGGGGCAAAGAATTTGAGATAGGCCTCCGCTGGGAGGGGATGGATGGGGGGAGGAGTGTTCTCGTATGAAAACGGGGACACCCCGATGCAACAACGACCCTTGAAGGGCTGAAAGAGGCTGTGGCCGAGCCCAAGTTGCAGACCATATTTTAGGGAAGAATTGTCCACACTCTGAAAGCCAAAGCTCAGGACAGAAATGCTGAAATTCGGACTGATCCTACTGCAAAAGAGACGTCTGGTACTCTATCAATGAGGAGAATCTGTCGCATGCACGAGTAGGAGCTCAACAAATTGGAGATTGTCCTGCAAACATCTACAAAGTTGCTCAACATGCTTCGGTGCCCAAGCCATGGCCATCTTCAAGTCTGTGGCGTGCCGCTATGTCAATGCCCGCCAGGCGTCCAGTTTGACGCATGACTGCGTTGATAGCCGGCGAGTAACTACCTCATTACAACTTTAGCAAGTACCCAAATGTAATTCCTTACTTGGCTGGAAGATTAATTTGACCACTGCTTTGCTAGGCCGACTTTGCTGGCAAGCAAACGAGCTGACGGGGCTATCTACAATCAGCAGTTCGCAAATTGGCATTATTTAGCTACGTAACAAAACCAAACCACTCAAACCCCCGAGTTGTCAAGGAAGCCACCTAAAGACCACACCTAGGGACATGAACACCTCGTTGGCTGACGATCTGAATTCCGGTTGGCATTGAACAACTAATTTGAAATATGTGTGTGGGTAGTGTTGAAGATACCCTTCTCACCTCGGCATATACGGACACCAACATGAACACCCCCCATGTCGGGGTCTCCCTGTTTGGATACATCCATACATGTGACACTCACTCATGTGTTTTGTCAGCCCAAGTCACCATGGAGATGCTGAAGCCCTGCTGCTGCAAGCAATGGCCAGCTGCCAAATAGTGTCGTACAGCTCCTTGGCAAAGAGGTCGAAGCAGTTTGACAGTCATAAAAAAACAATGTGCACTCAAAAAACAAGTAAACCAGCCACACCCAAATTTGCCAACAAAGAGCATACATGTGTGTGTGTGTGTGTGTCAGTGTCTGTGTCAGTGTCAGTGTCTGTGTCTGTGTCTGTGTCTGTGTCTGTGTTTGTGTGTGACTGTGCTTACGTGTTTGTGCTCGTGTATTTGTGTGTGTGTGTGTGTGTTCGTCTGTGTGTGTGTGTGTTTGTCTGTGTGTGTGGTTGTTTGTGTTTGTGCTTCTGTATGTGTGTCCGTGTGTTTGTCTGCGTGTTTGTGTGTGCATGCGTGCGTGCGTGCGTGCGTGCGTGGGTGTGGGTGTGGGTGTGGGTGTGGGTGTGGGTGTGGGTGTGGGTATGTGTGTGTGTGGGTGTGTGTGTGTGTGTGCGTGTGTGTTTCTATCTGTCTCTGTGTGTATGTGCACGTTTCTGTTTGGTTGTGTCTGTGTGGGTGCGTGTGTGTGTGTGCATGTGTGTGTGTGTGTGCGTGTGTGTTGGTGTTTGTGTATTTGTCTAAGCGTGTGGGCGAATGTTTGTGCATGTGTGTGTGTGTGGGTGTGCGTGTGCGTGTGCGCGTGCGTGTGGGGCATGTGCGTGTGCGTGTGCATGTGCGCGTGTGTGCGTGTGTGCGTGTGTGTGTGTGTGGTGTGTGTGTGGTGTGTGGTGTGTGGTGTGTGTGTGTGTGTGTGTGTGTGTGTGTGTGTGTGTGTGTGTGTGTGTGTGTGTGTGTGTGTGTGTGTGTGTGTGTGTGTGTGTGTGTGTGTGTGTGTGTGTTGTGTGTTTGTGTGTGTGTGTGTGTGTGTGTGTGTGTGTGTGTGTGTGTGTGTGTGTGTGTGTGTGTGTGTGTGTGTGTGTGTGTGTGTGTGTGTGTGTGTGTGTGTGTGTGTGTGTGTGTGTGTGTGTGTGTGTGTGTGTGTGTGTGTGTGTGTGTGTGTGTGTGTGTGTGTGCGTGTGTGCGTGTGTGCGTGTGCGCGTGTGCGTGTGCGTGTGCGTGTGCATGTGCGTGTGTGCGTGCGTGCTGCGTGTGTGCGTGTGTGCGTGCGTGCGTGCGTGCATGTGTGCGTGTGTGCGTGTGTGCGCGTGTGTGTGCGTGTGTGGGTGAGTGTGTGCGTGTGTGCGTGTGTGCGTGTGGGCGTGTGCGTGAGTGGGTGTGTGTGTGTGTATGTGTGTCTGTGTGTGTGCCTAAATCTCAAAATCGGGACACGCTTCGGATTGCTTTTGCTCCAACTTGGCGGCCCTCAACTAAGGATCGCGCAAAGACGGTATTTGCCAGGCTGCTTTTGGTGACTTTGATCTGATGATGGACAGTACACAACCCTTCGCAGGAGCTTGATGGGGATCTATCTGGGGAACAAAAGTGCTGAAACCTGAATTTGTTTCAGCGTCTCCTGTTCAGGTTTCGTGGACCGAACAAGACAATTGCAAGTCTTGTTCAAAAGGGTTCCTCCGGAAGCCAAGACACCCTAGGCGAAGGCAAATATGCGACTGAGTTTTGTCTCCCGTGAGACAAAAGGCTTAACATCCCAACATATGTCTTGAGTTTTTTGGGGGGATCCATCCAGGCTGTGCCGTCGAATGAGTCCAAGGGAGAGCCGCACACTTCACCATGGAGCCCCGTGCACAAGGTGTTGGGGAATTCGGAACGATCCATGTATCTGCAAATGTTACAATACTTACAAAACCTGCACTAAGGGATGCCCAAGCCCTTCATGGTGAGCTCGTGTTACTCCCAGGTAAGCTCGTTTTACCCCCAGGTATGCTTCTTGAGCCTTCTTTGGCGCCAAGCCAAAGCCGACAAAAACATGTTCGTCCTGAAATGTGCGAATCAAACCTGTTGCGGGGACGTATGAGACATGATGTCGTGCCCCACCTCCTTCAGGCTCTGTTCTCCAACCATCAACCATTGGTCAACCATCCGGCCCTCAAGCCGTGGCTTCGCGACCTCAGGCGACAAAACCTGTGGACGCCCTAGCATCTCGGAAGGCGTCTCAACGAGAAGCAACATCCAAATCACACCAAACAAACAGCTTGATGTGCGGATGGCATTCGCCGCTTCAGCCCCCTCCAGGCCCGTCCCCGGCCCGATGCACTCCTGGTGTACTCTCGAAGATGATCATGACACGCCGCGACTCCTTACCTGACATGCCTGACGCCCGCGCCAAGGTTTTCTCCCCATGGCCAAAAGCCTTGGAAATCGAAGCCTGGGGCCTTGACCACCTCACCATGAGACATCCCCAAGCAAGTACCTGCGTAGAAGTGAGTGCACCTTAACCGAAAAGGACAACGGATGGTTGCCTACTATATCGGTACCTGGGCTCCTATTGGCCTGCTGCTCCAACTGTGAAAACAAACCCAGACCCAGCAATTGCTATCACAAAGTGGGTGCTTCTCAAGATGCGGGTCCACTAAAATAGTTACACTAGTCTGCTCGTAGGTTCCCTTTTCCAACCACAAGGGCCCCACTATATTCAGAAACTCCCATTTGGCAATTCGCTCATCAACTGTTGCGAATACCAGTAACATCTCTATCATCCAGGTGGATCCACCGAGCAAGCCCCATCCTGGCAGGAAGCAATGAAGCAATGGCTCCACGATGCATCTTGCCTTGAGCACCTATACCAACAGACCGCATGGGTTCTGTGCCTTCTGCTCTCATCATCATCCATTGCCCTTGACGCCCAATTGACGCACTTGTTTGTCTGAGCACAAACACAGGATGGAAAACCCAAAACAAATTCATAATCAAGGATCTTATCCGCGCGCATTTGACACGCCGGCGCCATGTGCACACAAACAAGCCAGCCTTCGAGGAAAGGCGCCCTCATTGTACGCTAAAGTGGTTGTTGTGATCAATGTCAGAAATGAAGCCGGAATCTAAAGCTGGAAAGGGTCAGGTCAGACAACACAAGGCTCAAGGGGAGAAATCGTGACACTCCAAGCAACTTTGAGCCACTGGTGCCTGGCCAGTCAAACCCGCATCTGTCGACATCCATGAGCCGCTCAACGGGTTTGGGGAGGCAGCAACACACGGATGCGCAACTGCCGTCTCCTCCAAATCACTGGGAAATCAAAATTTGTCTGTCCTGTTTGGGCCTTTAAAGTAAAGTAGTCTTTTTGAGGGATCCCTCAACTGTTCAAAATTTTGGTTTTGAAGGAGTCAGACCATGCGCTACCGCGGAGATCGGTCTTGTAACATCAAAGCGAGCGTTTGACCTTGGAGACAATCATGTCTTGATTGAGCTAAGCACAACATCTCGCAGTTCTTCACTATGCTTCAAGGGGCTATGGGAAAACCAACATCAACATGCATCATAATTATTCCACATGCGCAGGGGCCATGAGAGAAAGGAAGCTCTCTTGTTTGAAGGAAAACCCGCCGCCTGTACTGATACCAATCAAACAAGAAATAGACTCATAGGCGAACAAACAAACATACTAACAAGCAAATCAAAACAACAGCAACAATCAGGCAACAAACGAACAACACACAAACAAACAACACACAACAAACAAACAGAAGCAAGCACACGAAAGAAAGACAGACAAATAGACAGAGACAAAGATAGAAAACAAAAAGAAATAGATAAATGAAGAAATGCACAAATAAAGAACAAACGGAACAAATACAGAAAGAGAAAAAGAAATAAACAAAGGCAGAAACACACAAAGACACGGCCACACAACTAACCAAACACACAAATAAACAAGCACACGCAACAAACAAATACACATACAAACAAACAAGCACACAAACAACCCGCCGGGTCGGAAACCGCCCGTGGCGGCGTGGCTTCGAAGACATTGTTCTTGCTCAGCAAGTAGACAAAAACATTGGAAATGACCAGTCATGGAAAGCAAAACTCTGCACGTTACGCCTTCCATCGCAGTGGGGAATGCAAGAATCAACCGCTATTTATAGTGTTTTCGAGGAAAAACACAATTTTACACCTCTCAGAACGCGTCTGTTGTGAGACACTTTTTTTAACAAGCATCTTCTTCCACAGGCCGGCACTCTCAGATCATGCGCTCTCAGCTCATGTTTTTTCAAGCGCTTTTCCTGAGCTTGTCCAGCGTCTTGGCAGTCGCCACGCAGAGGTCTTTTCCTTTCTGCAAGTGGCGCCATTGGTATGCCCGCATGTACAGCCAAAAGTTTTGATTGGCACATTGAACAAGTCATTTCTGCGAAGAAAAGTCTCTTATTGGCGCAGTGCCTTTACATGTTTGAAGCCCATGGCCTGGTGAAAGTCATCGATTTCCGTGATGGGACACAGAAAAAAACGTCCGAACTGCCCACAGGGTCGCAGGTATGTTGTCCGCGGCCCAGCCCCGAAGACGAAGCAGTATGATCAGGGCCAGAGATTCAACGGCCATGGCGTATGTCATGAAGGGCGGACTCAACAAGTAGGGTTTCTGAGCCTCAAAAACATGTCCAACGGATAAAAAACATCGCCTGTGTCAAACAAAAAGTTCAGGGTCGGAGGCTAAGTAACATTTCCAACGGATAAAACCATTCCCCCCCCCCCACCCCCCCGCCGAGCATTTTCGCAACGCCTACACGGGCATTTGTTGGTCCGCTGGCACAAACAAGCAACCGAAAAGCCACAAAACAAACGAACAAACAAATCAGCAAAGCAAACAAACACAAGCAATGAAACCACACAAACAAACGAATCAGTCAGTACACACACAGAAATCAAACAAACAATCAAAAAGCAAACACACAAACACACCAACAAACAAACAAAGCAAAAAAGAAAGAACAAAAGAAAGAAACAAACACACAAACAAACAACAGAAGCAAACATACTAGAGAAAGACAGACGGACAGAAAGATTAAACAAAAATGCAGAAAGACATAAATATAGAAATAACAACAACAAACAAGAAAGAAATAACGAAGGAAAGCAAGAAAGAAAGAAAACAAGAAACACACAAATATATACACACAAACACAAACAACAAACCGCTCCAGAGAGTACGACGGCAACCAGCGTCGGTCGATTTATTTTCACCGCACTGCCTCAAGTGGGTGGGATCGTACCTGTTGGTCGATCTGTTTCAATCTCTGGAGTCGGTGTGCGTGTCTCTCAGACACCACTGACTCGAAAGTAAAGTACAACAAATAAAAGGTAAGCAAATGCAAGTGCATGCAAACCCAAAATGTTGTACAGCAGAGTTTCGAAGAGGGAGTGGACGTTCTCCCGTCCTCTCACTCGATGCTATAAATGCAGACCGACAGGTACTGAGGGCATGCAGTGAAAACTGGTGAGGGTGGGTGGGAAAGAAAAATTTGGCTAATTCGCCAAAATGGCGAACGGAGCATGAATCAAGCAGTGTCATCCTGCAGGCACTCAAGGTTCGAATCTGAGTGTGATTCAAATGCCTTCCGCTATCGGTTGTTACTTTTAACACAAGTGTTAACCGCAACAACAAACCGCTCCAGAGAGTACGACGGCAACCAGCGTCGGTCGATTTATTTTCACCGCACTGCCTCAAGTGGGTGGGATCGTACCTGTTGGTCGATCTGTTTCAATCTCTGGAGTCGGTGTGCGTGTCTCTCAGACACCACTGACTCGAAAGTAAAGTACAACAAAATAAAAGGTAAGCAAATGCAAGTGCATGCAAACCCAAAATGTTGTACAGCAGAGTTTCGAAGAGGGAGTGGACGTTCTCCCGTCGTAGGTCAACTCCCGTCGAAGGTGAAGCCGAAGGCGAACGACCTAGACAAAAGGCACGTTGAAGGCATCCTTACATCGATCAAGTCTCCTTACTGTGGACAAGATTCTCACGGGACGTGGAAGTCAAGTCGGGTTCAGGAGGAATGATTCCTGTGGAACTGTTGGAGTTCCTTTATGTCGTCAAATCCGACGGCATGGGCGAACTCAATATCGCCAATGATTTTGCACGTCCGTTTATGTAGAGCGTGCATGGGGGGTTCCAGAATCTGCCAGTGGTGCTTCGAGGCAAGGGACATGTCATGTCGACTGAAGGGGTCGGCTATATTAGCATGTGTGGGCACACGGGCAATATGCAACTGCAATTGCTGTCGGTTGTGCCATGTCCAATGTGCACCGAGCAGGCAGTTTAGTGGTTGGTGTTTCCCAACTCCCCGTCTGATGGCGTGTTTGGCCGCTTCGTTGTCGCACAACTGGAGGTATGTGTCAGTGATCCATGGTCGAAAGATCACAGGAGCGATCAACGCGGCCCATGCCTCGAGGAAATAAATGGCGTTGGTGCCAGTACTCACTTGTTGGAGTAAGTTAGGGGGTAGTGCGCCCGAGACCACGCGGGTCCTTTGTGCCTGTGGGCTGAACAGCACCGCTGCCCATCCGTTGTCGTGCGACCAATCGGGTGGCAGACAATCCTGATCCCCTGCGTCCTTGACACGCCAGACCGTCTCGCCCTGCCGGCAGAACGCGTCGGTGTATATGATTGAGAGGTCTCTGGGCCTGGTGGACAGTGGGACGCTGCGGGGTGAGCTATGTTGCAGGATATTCAGGAGGCACAGAATGGCAGCTCGAGTTGGTTTGTCGATCCGGTCGGAAGTGCTGTGTGCTTTGTGGTATAGGGCGGCTAACGCCGATCGCCCTACTCGACCGAACAGGTGTCCGGTGACAAAGTTGCACTTGCCGGCAGTGCGTCGGGCGGTGTCGTTCGACATACCTCCCTGTTCGAGACACTGAGACAGGGTGTGTGACAGTGTACGGACTCGGTCTGGGCACGGTCGAAGGGTTGCGTGTGTTGCCGACAGGTCGACATAAACCCCTTGTATTTTGTGAGAGGGCGCCGGTGGTTGTTCCTTGGATGTCTTCATATGAAATCCAAGTAGTGAGTTGAGCTTGCTGAATGAGGAGAAGGAACTGGTCGCGATGTGACTGGGTTGTATGGCCCCGTAGTCGTCAACGTAGTGCAGGGCCGGTGTGAGTGTTAGTACGCGGGCGAGTGCTGTGAGTGCATCGCCGAAGCGGTTGTAGCCCCAGACGCTGGCAGCGGAGCCGAACAGGAGTACGTGGTGGTGCCAGAGAGTTGGGCCGTCGGGTGTGATGAGTAGCACGTATGCTACCTCCGGTTGTGCGAGGGGCAGTTGACGGTAGGCGCCGTCGTGGTCGTGTCCCCACACATGTAGCGGGTGTGTGTCGTCGTGAT